AGAGGTTGTGTGGCTCACCTTGTGATAGGCGCTGATAGATTCCAGAGGTCCGAAAGACTCGGGAGTCATGGACCGAGCCGGGCCACTTTGCCACAACATTGCTGATCAGATAGTCAGCATCGCAGACCATCTGAAATTATAAGATGAAGACTATTAAACCAATCAGTGCACATCACAAGCAATGCACAGTGTTCATTAATAGACAATATCAAAAAGTCATGTTCACCTGAACATTAATGCTGTGAAAGGATTTCCTATTCACAAAATCGGGGGATTATATACACACACAAAATTGCATACATATGAAACAGCAGAGGAGCATGGAGCACGAGGAGCTAAGATAAGATAAGGTAAGATAAGATAAGAGGAACTTTATTTATCCCAAAGGGAAATTCAATTAAGTCATTGAGCTCATCTATTTATCAAAGAGTTATACAGTCTGATGGAGTTACATTTACACAATTTCACTCACATCTGCAGTCAATTTCACTTACAATTTTTTGATTTGATCCTTTACCTCTTCGTAAGCCTCCATGAGGATTTCTGCCTCCGACGGGGTAAAGTACGCCGCTCTTGTTGCCATGGTGAATCGCTGAATCTGTGATCGATGGCGGGGTCTATTTGAGGAAGGCGCGTGCGCGCACTGATCCAGGATTGGTTTCATTGGTCTTTGTGCAACCAATTAAGCCTGGACGCTCTTGTTTTGGATTCATTGAACCCAGCTCAGTCATTTATCCTGGATGTCTGAATCCTACTTTTGTGCAACGGGCAATCCTGGTCTGTGGCAGGATTAAGGTGAGGATTAGCTCCATCTATGATCAAAAAATGTTCAATAGACAAGAACACACCAAAAGACAGTTCTGTCAGTGCTTTTACACACTCACAACTGCCATGTAATGATAAAATAATATGTAGATCATAAAATACAAAATATGTAACATAATTAATAAAAAAAACATTAACTATTAAAAAACAAATTAAAATGTAATAAAAATAAGATAATAAAAAAGCACCTACAACAATAAAGCTGAAATCAAACTAATAAAAACAAAACTATAATAAAATCAAACTGAGGCATTAAAAAAAGATTGTATATGTACACCAAACACACGAGTATGTGATCGCCCTCCCATCCCCACCCCACTCTGTTTCCAGTTGGCTAGCAAATTCACAGCCAATCAAGGTCAACTGACAACGGAGAGAAGACACACCCTAGGAAAGGAAATTAGGAAATAATGGCATGCCCCTTCATCGAGGATCCTGTTGATGAGGAGGCCCACATTGTCCAGGGGGCCTTCCAACCACCACCAGCCCCAAGGGTCTTCCAGGACAGGACCAGCCCACTGATACAGACAGACTCCAATCTGTGGGAGAGGTACCGGTTCAGCAGGCAGAGCATAGTGTATCTATGCAGTTTGCTGGAACCACACAATATAAAGGTCACAGGCTGCAGCCAGTCTCTGACCACTGTGCAGTCAGTCTGATCACATTAACATATGGTTATCTTTTATATTTATGAATTAACCATGACACAAAGCAACCACATTAAAATGGGACACACACCATTGTGGTCTGTCTGTTCCTCACCCTATAGCACATTACATACATTTAAGGGGGTTTTCCTTATTTTGACATTTTGACTCCCACATGATAAGAAATAGATAATTGATTCACTCTCACCTGCATTCACTTAATAGTTTTCCTCATCTCCACTGAACTGATGGATTTGCTAAATGGAATTTTCTACAATCAGTAGATAAATGTCATGTGATTATTTCCTATAAACTGATCATTTCAGAAATGTCATAATCTACAATCAATTATGTGATAAATGCCATGATTCACCGTTAAAGGGGTTTTTTTGGGGAGTTTTTCCTGATCAGCTGTGAGGGTCATAAGGACAGAGGGATGTTGTATGCTGTAAAGCCCTGTGAGGCAAATTGTGATTTGTGATATTGGGCTTTATAAAAAAAATTGATTGATTGATTGATAAAATAGTTTGATTAAATGCATCATCTGAAATGTACACAGGAATCAGTAGATACATGTGATAAATAGTCTGTCACTAATATTAATTTACTGACTCTCAGGCTAAATTTACACATTTGGTGAATTTCATTAGGCAGACTTGAATTGTTAGATTTAATAGGTGTTTTTATCTACATATATTTTGTCCCTTTGATGCAGGATTTATAGAACATGATATTATGCTGACATGCTGAATTTTCTTTGTCACTTACACATTTAGCCCATCAGCAATATTCCTTTTCCTTTGCTTTTTGACATTTTGCAACATTTTCGGCACTCGACTAGTGTGGGCTTCTTATTTTCAGTATGAGTTGAGGCTTAACAGGTGAGGCTTGAATTAGCGTCAGTTGGAGCCAGCTTATTTCACTTGATGGAATGGGTTGGAGCTAGATTGGGAGTTGGCATTTAGTCAAACTTCAAGATTACACCTTAGTCTGGATATTCTTAGCTACGTTGATGGAATACCCCCCAGGTCTCCATCCTCATCTGAAAAATAAACCATCATCACCATCATTCTGTAAAATCATCTTCACTCCAATGTGATGACATTACACCACTAAAACTTCTCCATCTTTATCTGAAACACAAAATATTTTAGTGGCTAAAATAACTTTCAGAACGAATATGTATATATATTGTACTACATATATATGTAGCAATAATTTTTAAAATGAATAGAGTAGAAATGTTAAAGAAAACAAAAAGCTAATTATTGTATTACATTGCTACAATAACATGATATAATAGCTAATTATTACAGTTTTATCTCCACTCAACATGACCTTAGATATATAAATATCACATGATATTTAGTATATTTAGATAGTTAAACTCATGTTTGTGCAGATGAGATTAATATCAGAATAAGGACAACATAAGTCTAATATTGTCTTGAAAGTTGTGAGGATCCTCAGATATAAAACATTCACCAATCTTTAGAAAAATCTAACCTGAGCCTTAAAACCAGAGCTCTGTACTGCGAATATTTACTGAATATTTACTACTACAAATATCATCTAGGTGCTGGAAAATCCATTTTATACTACTACAGCTGAAACAGTCACACATACCATAAGAATAAATCTAAGCAACTCATTCATTTCATGAAAAAAATATATAATTATAGTCAGACCTGCCCTTATGGAAATATTATAACTTGCTCATTCACACATTCACCCATTTTTCCAGATGTCCTGCTGCTTTTAGCCTGAATATTTACTACAAACCTGAATAATAGTGCCATCTGGTGGTCATTTGCATACAGAGAAGTTGGATCTTTACAAGTTGGGTCAACGGAGAAGATGGAATATTGGACGCAATACACAATCATTGAAAAATTCAAAGGTTGTTGTTGGATTTTACACCCACTTTATCCACCTTATTTTCAAACACGGAAGTGAATAGTGATCAACTTCCGTTGTTTTTGTGCGTGACTTCCAGTCAGACGCTTTCCCTCATGCTTTCCCTTACCGGAGCTAACAGTGCAAGCTATTTTTTTTAGTTTTCAGTTGTTTATGTTAGTCAATCAGTTAGTTAGTTAGTTAGTCTGTGTATTTTGTATAACGTTAGATAACTGTGCCCACGTTTCCGTTATAACGGAAATTTATTCCCTCTAAACGCGAATAAATTGCACGTCAATCATAAACTATGAACCAAAAAAGCACAATCTATCCCGAGTGAGAGAAACTGCTTGATCCCCGTCTCCAGTGTACCAGCAGAGAACCTGCAGAACCGAATCAGTGAAAAAACACAGCGGGCTACACAGCCTCTCTACCTGAGCAGCTGAAGCTGCGGCTCACACCCTCGACACACAGACACACAGACGGTGCTTCTGCATGCCAGCCACACGTGTGCACACCTGTGAGAAATAAATATGTGAGGTGTACGCTGCTTTTCTATCTTTTTTCCCCTTTTCTTTCTGTCAGCGACATACACTCCTAACACAGGACGGGTTGTTTTAATTGACTGAGTTGATCATTAAGCCATAGTGATGCGCGGATCGGCTCTGATAGCACCTGAATCAGCATGTACGCATCAACCATCCAGCCGTTACAACATGATTGAGCTAGCAAAGCAGTTTTGTGTTGCTATGTGTGGTATTTATTCAGTTTTGGGAAATCACGATGTCTAGAAAGCATCAGTGGCTGCAGCTGACAGGGACAGCTAACGTTAACACTAGCAGCAAAGCTAACATCAGGATCGTCATCCGTTAAAAGCCTCCCGTTGTCGGATACGACATGAAACTACTCCAGTTAGCTCAATCATGTTGTAACTAAGACATCCGCTGGAGAAAATATTTTTTTCACGGGCCACTTTGTGAGTTTAGTGAGTTATTACAGACACGGCTAACGGCTAACAGCTAACGGTTAGCCCAGCTAATCTACGATAACCATGTTATTAATTACACACAGAGAAAATACTAATGTTTGTTCAGTCATTGTGTTTATAGACTTTACAAACATCAGATTAGTCTAAACGGTGATATAGTGACGTGAAAAATGTGATATATACATATATATAGCTAAACTCAGCAAGGTAAACAACAAGGCGATTCCCATTTACACAGTGGTAAGAGTGCTGGACCGGAAGTGTCGCACAAAAAAACGGAAGCTGGCTGCGTTCTGTTTTGCCTCCGTGTTTCCGTGAAAAATAAGGTGGATAATGTGCAAAAGAGGAGGACAGCAAGTACTCACATCTTTTAAGTTGTTCCGTCCTCTGTATGATCTCAAGTGCTAAGCTGATAGGTAGTGGTTTGGTTACATGACATTACAGAAGAGCATATTTAATCTATTCAGTGTGGACAGAGACCTGACCACATTGTTGTGCAAGTGCTGATTCCAGAGAGCAGTAAATGCATGATGCATTGGCCAGGAATCGGACTTGGGTTTCCTGCATAGCAGGCAAGAATTCTACCACTGAACCACCAATGCTCACATCACCGCTTCATCCACAACACCGACGAGGCCCACATCACAGCCAAAATAGACGGTATTCCTGGTGCATACATTTCTGCGCTGGACATGGTTGCTTTTCATTATTTTCCAACAGTCCCTTTTCCCACAGGTCTGTCTACGTGCTGCCTTCGGCTCTGAAAGGCAGGGGGAAATCTCATGGTTATCGCTTCTGGTTTGGTGTGTGATGTGTCACAAACTCCAATGTCTTCCGTTGTGTCCGTCCAGAGGGGTGTACCAGGAATAACTTTCAGTAGCTCACAAACAGCAAGAACAACCTTGTGAATGAAACAGAAACAATATTTTTGCCCCCATTTTCTGCAGCAAAGTGGCAAAGAAAACAAAACCAAACCCTGCAACATGATACATAAGGCAATATTGAGTGTTGCAGCTTATGTCTAGCAGTTCTGGTAGAAAGTGCTCGCTCATGTCTTGGTTGGGTGAGTTTTGTTGTAGCTTTGGTCTCCTTTGTTGTGTGCGTCTTGGGATGACTTGGTTGAAATTTGGTTGAAGGGACCTTCTGGGTGCTACTTTTGTTGAGCGATTATGTGCAATTCCAGTTCAGTGTGCTTCAGTAGCTGAAATATGAATGGGCTAGGCATTGTGGAAGGTTAATGTGCTTGTCTCACTGCATTTGACTTGGCTGGACATTTGGAATTTTGGTACTAGTAATAATATATAATGCTATTTATTTATATCTCTCTATCTCTATCCCTATCCCTGTCTCTATATCTATATACCTCACTGTCTCCAAGATCAAATGTTGGCAACATTTTGAAGTCCATGTTTGCTCTGGTAGTGCTCCTTTGGTGGTCTACGCAGACCACAACCTGCTTGCTTTTCTCTACTCTTTGCATTGCCCAAACCGCAGGTTGATGTGATGAAGTTCTTTTTGTCCAATGGAGCAATTGCTCTGTTCTTGAATTTTGCGTAGTGCATCTCTCTCGTCTTCTATAGACTACATAGTTTGAATTTTGGAAATGACTGAGATCTGCTGGTATTCCCCTCCATTCCACCAGGGGTCCCTGCATCTTTGTACTGCTGTGTTTGATCTTCTGTTGCACATGTTGAATGGGGGTCATCATCAGCTACCAGTGGATGGATAGGTATGTCAGTAAATCATTTTGGTCTCAGAATTCATAATCTCAATCTGTTCTGAAAATATCTCTATTCGTATGGTCATAGTGTGTTTTAGAAGTTGAATTTGTTTTGTACATTGCTTTATATTATTTCTGATCAGGAATTGTTACGCAGCCTTCAAAGTGCTGGACCCAAAACCAGGGGGGCACCTGCACTGGGCATCTTGGAGGACCACTGAGGACATTGTTGGAAAGGTCACACGGGGCAATTTAGCCAACTGGTGCTTCTGTTAGGGTTACTGGACATCCAAAATATCCAGGACTTCATGTGGCAAACAGAGACACTGGGGAGCCTGGTTGTCACCCTGTTCCACTTGACTGGGAAAAACACAGATCACTTGCACAGAAGGACATTTCTGCGTTCATAACCCAATTTCTTTCTGAGGCAGATGCAACCCAGCCAGCCCAGCCCTCTCTGTCAGCACCAGTGACGGGGAGGGGATACTCACCACTATACTAACGAGGAGATGTCAGTGGTTGCAGAGTCCTTCACGTGGCAGGCCTGGGTCCAGGAGCCATAGAAGCTGAAATATGAACAACAGAGTGAAAAGTAAAGTAATTCTACTTTATCAGTCAGTTACTGTCTTCTAAATCAATTGCTGATGTGTTGCATGCTCAGTGTTTTGTATATAAAATGGTTGCTGATGTAGGCTGCTTTTTACATTGTCAGAATGTGTCATGATGACAGATGCTGGTTCAGTCAGTTTGAATTAAATCAAACCAGTTAAAGCTCGTACACTGGGCCAGACCAGCAAAACCGGAACTCGATATTACTCTCTGCAAGAACACCCATAGCAGCAGAAGGTCCATCAGTTTTGCATGTGTTGAGTCTTGTTGGTGCAGAAGGCAGCACGTCAGTCTTATAAGCATACAGCAAACTCTCCAGAGCTAAGCCTACATGTGGGTGAGACTCAGAAAATGGAAATGTGACAATTGAGACATGAACCAGATGATCACATGAGTCTGCAGTAATAAGTTTCACCCAGCAAACGTTTAAAGAATTGTCTCCTGTGTTACAGCCGTCCACGTGCACAAAGCTAATAAAGTGCTGTCAAAGGACCAGGCATTCCTTCAGTCTTTGACGCTGTGGCCTGAAGACAGAAAAACACTGTGAGCGGGTGTACAGTTGAGTCGTCGCAGGATATGGAAACACACCCAGACCCCACCTGGACATCTGAATAATAATGCAACACTGTATCTGAACTGTCAAGGACGCATATGACATGATGCAGATACAAATTATGATGTTAACTAATATTATTTTGACTGTTTATTTCCAGTGAGTAGGCCTAGTTTAACTATAAAGAATTGCTTTCTGAGCAGTGAAATCTTTTATACATTATTGAGAGAAATAAAAACTAATTTTTTAATGCAATTAACAAGTAATTAAATAAAAAAATCTTACTTAAAGAGGCTGTAATCGATACTTTGATAGTAACAGAGTATCAAATGACAGTGTGACAATGCAAAAGTAATCGCTTGTCGTAATGACAGTCTGTGTAAAAATGCAGAAGAATAGCTGTTTTATTTTTCTTACAGCACAGACAGTTTGTGGCTTCAGAGATTTGCAACAGGTAAAATGTCATCCCTGCTAGAGACCGACACAGGACACAGGACATTACAGTGGAAACTAATAGATTCTTACATTTTGATTTAAAATTACATGCTAACTACTGAATGTATTTATTACACTTATAATTCTATATTGTTGTTATCCATCTATCCCTAATAAAAAGATAAAGAAAGAGATTCTCAAACATTTTTCACACACAAATGCAGAAAATGAATCAAGATGACATTTCTTTAGGAATACAAATTGTTTGCTCAGTGAAAAATGTCCTGTGACAATGAGCGTTTTATATTTTATAATAAATTTCAAATTTAAGTAGAGGCTGACATAACTCCTGTTAACTAAACACTGTCTAAACTCCCTATCAGCTGAAGCTGAGGCTGTCCAGAGACAGTGCTGACGTTCAGGTTGAACGTTTACAAAAAGCATGGCTTACGTCTCTCTGTTTACTTTCTGTGGTTTCACAATTATGCAACCTTTGGAATCAGACTTCAGAGTGGAACTTTCCCACAGCTCACCCTCCCCTACAGGTGAATGTCATGTGTTCATGAATAGCCGTGATGCTGACATGTTGGAAGTGCTCTGACAGGCGTGCCTCAACTACTTTACTTTTTTTTCCAGTTTTATTATGGCAACACATCAGTCACAGCTGCTGTCCTGCTGACATATGTTTAACATGAGAGGGCAGGCACAAAACCAACAGCTACATCAGAATTTGAGTGGTTTGGGATTGGCACATATAGGAGGATTTATATAACTTCTGACTTCTACCAAACAGGCAACACAAGCGTGTCCTATATGAAGACATGACTCTACTTTATCGCTGTGTAAGGACTTGTTTTGCATGACATGTCAGCAATGATTGGCTTTGTATCCTGTCCATCAAAGGGTTATTTGAATACAGGAAACAGGCTGAAACTTTTCCTAAAAGTGGTGTATTGTATTTGCTGTGAGGAAAACCAGTCTAGTGTATTGTGGTAAATATTAGATAATGGTTTCATTTGTTATGTATTAACCAGTAACTAGCAAATAAATAAGGAAAAAACTTAGAGCAGCCTCAAAGAGCAGTGTTTGGTTTAGGGCTTGCTTATGGTAGCACTTAGCAAACAGTGGAGTCCAGGAAAATAAATAAACACAACCTGGTCTAGTGCTGCCTTCAGTGGCCAAGCAAATATTGTAAAACGGACACTCTGAACATGGACATTTACTCTAGGTGATAAATAGCCCATTCTTCAGAATTCGTACAAAAAAAAAATCCTCTTCAATTAGGCTTGGAAAATATATTTTAAAAGATCAAAGTCTTGACTATTAAACCTTGTATGGGCCAACCTCAGTGTTTTTTTTTTCAATAGTATATATGATGGAAATCAGAGGTATGATCTGACGGAATTGATGTCTTACAGAATTGACACAAACTTTTATATTTATCAGTTTCACAGCAGTGGTAGTGAGTAAAGTTGCTAAGAGTTTAGAGTTTAGTTTTGATTTAGAAGAGTAATGGAGTTTACCTATTATGGCTGAGATACACCCGATAGCAATATTATTTAATAAATGTATCAAAAGATAGAAAGCTTACCAGTATGTATTTGAGCTGCATTCCTGCCTGTGGATATGGCTAACTCCTTTTATACCTGGTTTAATTATATTTTTGTAGAAATCTGATGGTGTTGACAAAAATCTGGGGACATTTTTATAAAAACATATATTTAAAAACAAAGATGATTAAAATGGCACGTTTTTACACTGATGTTATCAGCTCATAATGTTAGTTTTGGATTTTGAGGGATTTAAACATATTTTCTAGTTGTTTGAAGTTGTGAATTCTTGTCTGAGACAAGGGTGTTTCATGGCATAGGGAAAGTTCAGAAGTTAAAAAAAAGAAAGCTGATCAAAATATTTTACAAATCATATTTATTTCATGTAAATAAAAACTTTAAAAATAATATTTCACACCAAAAATGGAATTAGTGTATTAATAAGTTATAGTTTTAAGGTGTTTTATGCCTCCATCCCCCGCTATTTCCAACGTGGAGGCATTATTGTCCATCTGTCTGTCCATACATCCCCTCCATTCTCATGAACACAATATCTCGTGAATGCCTTTAGGGACTTTTTTCAAATTTGGCACAAATGTCCACTTGGACTAAACAATGAACTGATTAGAATTTGCTGGTTAAAGGTCAAAGGTCAAGGTCACTATGACCTCTCAAAACATGTTTTTGGCCAAAACTCAAGAATTCAAATGCTAATTATTAGGGGTGGAACAATCCATTGATCCTGATCAATTTATCAGTTATTTGCTCAACGATCCAGTATCATCAGTGCTATATGCAAATATCGTGTCATTGCCCAAAGAATCGATATAATATTGTATCATGATGAAACTGGTGATCTACACCCCTACCAATTACAACAAAAATACGCACTGATGTCTGACAGGATATTATGATGAAGCTATGATATTTTATATACAATGGTAAGTTTCACTGTCACATCGTAATGTTCCACAAAAACACTTTCCTGGCCTTTAGTCAAATATCTCAGGAACAGAAGGGAAGACATTTGGTTAGGTACTAAATTGACACTAATCATGGGTGTCCTTGAAACTGTACTGATTGTATAGCTCTTCTGTGCTAGCAGAGGGAGGCTGTGTGTGAAGCATCCATGTTTTCACAGTCATGGATGTGAACTGTAAGTTCAACTGGTGTGTGGGGGCATACAACCATGAGGTGGCAATTCTAGTTTTGGTAGGACATGACTTGGCACAATTTTTCATAAGGGGTTAAATACTTTGTTAAACGCTTTTTATAATAGTTTTTTTAATAATGAAATTGTCAAAATAATGAAAAAATTTAATATCTATCAATGTCAATGAACAGTGGGGTCTGAAAAAAAATACAGCCTGGTCTAGTGCTGCCTTCATTTGCTTAGTTAATATTGTAAAACGGCATCTCTCAACATGAACATTTGGTTCAAGTGATAAATACTTTGGAAAAAGCTCAATTAACTGATATTGAAATTGTCAGAATTAATAAAGATTGATCGATACTTGAATAAATCGATCGTTATAAGAAAAAAAAGTCGACCGGCCATGTTTGAATGCATGGATTGTGTACATTCCGATTTAAGAGCTGCGCCTGAACGTTGCATAAGCCTGGAGAGGAAAATGGGTTGAGATGCGCATGCGCAGTCGCAGTGTTTGCATTCCTCCTCCCTCCTGTGAGACTGACAGCCCGGCCGTTAGCTGCTGCTGTTCACCGGCAATGATACAGCAAACACGGACTCGGTAAGACACCGACATGGACTTGACGGACACTTTTTACCACTACAAAGACGGATACTATTCGGACACCGTTGTCTGTTAACCACAGACAGAGTTTATTCCTCACCAGGATTATTTTGTGTCGGGTAAAAGGAGACTCGACGTCTGAGAGGAATTGATGCGACGACTGATTTCCTGCGACATAACGTTACACCGGTCAGATAAGAAGCTTTCGCATTCACTTTGAAGACCACCTGAGTGAACTGTCAAGGGCTGGGTTTATTTCTGTGTGCTTGATTGTGACACTAATATCTGCAAAATAATCGTAAGTAGTAAATAGATAGGGTACACCAAGTTCTAGGAGAGCGTAGCTAATCGCCAGTACAGCTTTAAGCTAACCAGCGGCTAGCTCAATTTCGCATTCTTTGTTTATTTTGTTTGCTTCGTTTAATACAGTGTTTTTTATCTTTCTGGAGTTGGATACATACTTGTGGAAAGAAGAAGGAGGTCGCTCATACGCTGAGTTTGAACGTGACTACAGCCCTGAACGTTTAGCTGGATTTTTAAAGGACATAAATCATCTGATTTCTCACTTATGGCTCGTTAGTATCGCGGTACTGCAGCTGACCCAGCTAGCTAGCATCTGTTTTAGCTAGTAGGTAGCGCCAGCAGCCGTCCACTTCTTGGCCCTTAGTAACTCACTGACGGCAGAGATGCACCACCAAGAGTTTTCTGGAGACCCGCCTGGGACCGGGAGCAGGAAAGGTTTCCACTACAGGAGGGGCAGCAGCGGTGCGTCTGCCTCCTCCGCAGCCGGCGGCAGTGGAGTCAACACGGGCGACGACAACCCAACCCAGGCTGGATCAAGTTCTCCCGCACTCCACCACCAGCCCCAGTCCCAGTCCCAGTCTGCTGGCGCTCAGGTGAAGAAGAAGAGTGGCTTCCAGATAACCAGTGTCACCTCAGCTCAGATCAACGTGAGCGGCAATAACAGTTTAGCAGATGACACTGAGAGCTATGATGACATGGATGAGTCGCACACAGAGGACCTCTCCTCCTCTGATATGCTGGATGTCTCCGTGTCCAGGGCCACCGATACAGGTGTGCCGGAGAGAAGCTCCTCTGATGAGACGCTCAACAGTCTCCATGGGGTCGACACACCTGGAATTGTGTCACCCAACGAGCCTCTTCACCCTCATTCCATCCCTCAGGGGTCTCAGCAGCACACCTCTATGGTAAATGGGACCATGCATCCTCATTATTATCCTCAGCAACACAACCAGCCCCACCATCATCACTCTGATAGCTTGGGAGGAGGAGAACCCTCATTGCCATCGCTTCCTATTGCTCCCTTGGCTAGCTCCAGCCCTGCTTCCAAAGCCGGGCCGAGCCAGTCACAGAGGCCACCAATGTTGGATACCAGTAAAGCTGCAGGAGGGACAACCCAACCATTAACCCTTATTGTTGGTGGGACAGCCACTGATCCACATCTACAGGGCAGTGTGAACGTTTCAAATATGTCTGCTGTCACTGCTTCTGCAGTCCCTCTCTCTGGGCCTGCAGGGTTTGATAACGCTAGTGTGAGTGGGCAAGTAGCTTCTGTTGGAGGAGGAGCAGGCCCGTCTGCTGCTGCCTCCAACACTCATACTCAGCACACCCAAACTCAGACAGCTACTGGCTCTCGTTTTAGGGTGGTCAAATTAGACACTAACTCTGAGCCATTCCGCAAAGGAAGATGGACATGTACAGAGTACTATGAAAAGGAGGTTCCTCATTCAACTACATCTGAAGCACCAAAAGGTGCAGAAGTGGCTGCAGAGACTGAGGCAGGTAATGCTGGGATTAGCCAGAGCATACCTGCTGTACAGCCACCTCACACGCTTCAGCCCTATCAGCTGCCGAGCCAGGACTTCACCAGTCCACAAGCAATGCAGAGCCCACCCCAGGGACTGGCCCAAACTGCTCCTCTGACGTATGTTGCACCCCAGGATGTTGTTGCTGGGGCACACTTGCAGAAACCAGTGGCTCCTGTCACTCTCCCTACAGCCACACCACAGGCCGCTGTAAGTCAGCCTCCCCCTGTAATACCCCAGCAGCTGCCCTACACTATGGATCCCCACCAGACTCAGGCAGGTTACCCTGCACCTCAGTTCCATGCAGGGGTCATAGCCCCGGGAAGTGTCCGACAGCCAGACTTTATACAGCCCACTGCTCCCTTTCAGACCCAGGTTCAGCCTCCGCTGCCACATGTTACAACAGGAATCTCCATAACACCTGTTCCAGGGGTCACGGCACAGCCACCGGTCAGCATAACTCAGCAGCTGCCCCTTCAAGGTCAGGTGGCCCCACCTGCCACAGCAACATTTACAGGACAGCAACAGACTCTCCCAGCTCAACCCCAACCTCTCTCACAGCCGCAAGTCCAACCCCCCGCTGCTGCAACAGGCCCAGTAGCACCCACCCATGGGACCCCCTACATGCCATTGACTGCACTACGAGCTGACCTCCAGCCTCTCCTCACCTTGGGTGCGACCCTCACCCAGGTCCCTGGAGGAGGGAGCTCCATAAGAACATCCCAGCTGGAGGACGCACAGAAGCTTCTGCTCCAGCACCAAAGCCTGCTGGGTCTGCCCAGGCTAGGGGTGGCAGCAGGTGGAGAGGGGGCTGCAGAGGCCGGCGGTGCTGCTGGAACGCTGGCCCACATGGGGATGTCGGCTGAAGCCAGCGCCTTTATGGCTGCTGCTGCAGGCCTCAGGACTCAGCACACTGAAGGAGAGGAGGACAGGTGAGGATTGATGGCCTGTGCTGCCAAAACTGTTTATTCTGATGTAAACTGTTTTGTCAATGAAGGTTTTTAAGTTAAAATTGTAATTAAGGCATTTCATAGTAACATTTCATCAGAAATACTTAACCTTTGTAGCAATATAGAAAGCAAAACATAATTTGCAAGGTCTGATTATGGTGTTTTCACAATGTAACAGCTCTGTTATGCTGGTAACATCATCCTGCAACTGCTTTTCTGTCTGGTTTTGTTGAGTTTCATTCACATCTACAAGCCTAGTTTTACATTAGCTTGCTCCTCTGTCCCCTGAGGCCGCGCTGTCAGCCTCCAAAACACAGCGGGTGTAAAACAGCTCACTGGGCATGTTATTGTAAAAATATCAGTGGCTGCAGTAGAGGCCATGGAGCTGCTGAGTCACCGAGGGAGCTAGTGACTCAGCACATGTTCTGCCCCCATCAACCCCCAACCATCACACATCCACCTCCATTAGCTCAGGACCGTTTGTGTCAGTAATGCTACATTTTCCCTGGTGCGCTGCCTCATGCTATCCCTCCTTTCTCATTCAGTATTTTCATCTCCCTTTTTCCCCCATCTCCCCTCAGGTTTAGTCTGTTATTAGACACTGGAGCTGTTGATTTGTAGCACCCCAAGGGAGCTGTGCAACGGTTTATTTATGTGTACAATTACTCAGCCCTATGTGGCTGAGAGTTTTTCAGGTCAGAAGTGGTTACTGCAGTTGCAGGTAGTTTCTGAAAACACATGGTTGGTCTAAATACAGTTGATGCCCTGGGAAAAAAACTCTCCCGTGCCCATTTGAAGATGCAGTCTTGCAGAGTCTGTGCTTCAGAGGCGGTAGAGGGCCTGATCTGGAGTTGTGTTGCATAAATCTGGCTAAGTCTCGCAGCAGAGAAATGGAGCTCTGTTGTGGCAGCAGTCTAGTGTTACCACTGTCCTGTGTTCTGGTTTAGCAGGAGTTTCATGTTGTGAGTGCAACAATAATGCCTCCAGGGTATGGAGGGAGTTTGAGTACAGCCAGCCTCACCCAGCAACCCATGAGGGAAATACAAGAATATATTCTTGAGCATTGTGGCTTTTATTTAGCCGTTGCAAATAAAAAGTTCCCCCAAATGTTGTACTAATACATGCTGTAATTGAAAATGGAGACAGACTTCTTAGTAGTTCCATGATTAAAACAACAGTTGCTGAGCTAACCAGTAAACATGCTTCTAATTCAATAGCCAGCACAGCGGGTCACTGGTGAGCTGAAGTGTTTATGTATTTTCAGCTGTTCCAATTGTGTCTGAAATCGAGGAACGGAGAGACGGAGGGTGCAACAACTGCTGCCTTACTGTTGACGTAGTCACATTCAACAGTAGACAGAGCAGGGCTGTATTCTGTGTGGAGGCTTTTGTCAGCACTTCGTGGCACCCCATCATGACTGTGTGTGTCTTGTGCATGATTTCTGTAAGTGTGCTTCCGTCTGTCCGTCCGTTTGTCGGCTCGTCGTCTTGTCATGAATCAGCCACTGTCCTGCAGACAGTGCAAGTGTGAGTGTGTCTGCTTTGTTTATAGTCACGGTCATGTCATGCTGCGATCTGACTCTGTCTCTCTGTCTCTGCTTTCTTTCTGTCTCTTATGTTTATCTCCCTTTGTTTCCCCCTCTTTTCTTTCTCTCTGTCTCCTCTCCTTTTGCAGTTTTTCATCACGTCTGTCCAAACTTTTCTCCTCTGCCTTCTTTTACACACAAGTCTGTTCCAGTATATCCCTCTCCTTTCCCTGCATACATGTAGTGTTTCCTCCAAGCTATGAGCATTCTGTGCCATAGTGAAGTTTACAGGTTTTTCCCATTACCTTGAGGTGTTCACACCCGTATTTACTAATGAGAGTGAGCAACAGTGTGTATGAAATGTTGAACAGTCAGCACCTTTAGTTATGATCTCACAGTGTCCAAGAACAACACCTGTATCGGTGATAACAGTTTCAGGACCTAGTAAAGAAGGCATTACTGTGTCTTTCTACCATTTAAACAAGCAGAGGTATAAATGTAGACCGACAAATTAACACATACTTTGAATCCTTTTGTTTAGGGCTGTCCCGAATATCAGGTTTTGGGTGTTGAAGCTTCGACAGGGTGGTGGAGGAGATGAGCAATGGGGACATGAATCAGACTTTTTGGAAACATCAGTTTTCAGTTAGTGTACCTAGAATAACGTCACAATTAGCCACTTTGTTAGCATGTAACATTAGCTGTAGACTAATAGCTACAAAAAGGAATATAAGATAACCAAGCTGTTGCTAAGCTAAGCAGATTTGCCAAACTAGTTGCAGTTTTGTGACATGTAGGGCTGCCCCTTGAAAGTCTAAGATTCGAATTATCAGTTGGAGACCCCTAAGTTGACTGAGATTGCTTTAATGCCGGGTTCACACTACACAATATCAGCCCAATTATAGCTTGACGCAGCATCGTACAGTGTCGGCTCGTATCGTGAATGACAAGTGTCGTACGTGAACATCCATCATTTCACCTCGTGTCATAATTGACGACAACCAACGCAGCGTCTGAGACTCCTCATGACGCCTCAACAGAAAGTCTAGCATGTTTGATTTTCTTTTACTTGCTTACGACTTCTCCCGTCACAGCTGCCACTTTGACCAATAGAAACACAGAGCGATCTGCTGCTGTAGACAACTGTACAGCAGCAACACCCAGGCTTTTGATATTTCCTCTAAGGATGTTACCACAACACATTGAAAAAGGAAACCTGGTGAGTACTGCTATTAGCATCAGGCTAGCAAACATCACTACAGTAAAATTTCAGCTGGCACATGAAAAGACACAGTGACTAAAAAAATAGTAATAATAATTAGAATAGGACAAGAATAACCAGATGACATCACACACGCAGTGAAAGACGACCAGGGATGATTGATGTGGACCATCATGTAGTCTGTCATGTCTGTCGGCCAAGTCATGGTACTATTTTATGACGTAATGTGACATAGTGTCCATTGGAACAGACAGAAATGTCATGTAGTGTGAGCCCGACATAAGTTTTTTTTTTTTTTTAAATGAGCATGAGTTGTTGAATATTTGTATTGAACAGCCACTCAACTTTTTGGGGATCATTTTCACAAATTTTGAAACTATTCCAGACACTTTTTTGACATCTTGCTAGCATATCTGTAAACCTGCCATGTGTGATCAAACTATCCCAGTTAAAGTAGTGCTCGACTGCTGGTGACTAAACCAGAATAACAAATAATTTACAATAATTTATGTTGATGCATGATGAATAATGTTGGATTTTTATTTTTTTAATTTATGGGCTATTTGGGATTTTTGAGGTAATGCATTCGAATACTGATTTGGCTGTCAAATACAATGGCAACAATGGAAGCTTTGAAGCATTTGGCTCAGCTCTAAAAGTGCTTTCTTTACAGTACAATATTTGAATTAGTGCTGCAACTTTCATTTCTATTGTTGATAAATGTGCTAATTACTTTTTCAATTGATCATTTTGTTGAAAAATGTCTTCAGATAGTTTGTTTTGTCTGACCTGCAGCCCAAAACCCACAAACCTTCAGATTTAAAACTGATAAAAGCAGAAAATCTAAGGAATTTGAGAAACTTATACCAGGAAAGTGTTTTGATTTTTGCTTCAGAAATGACTTATCAATTATGAAAACTGTTGCTCTAATTTGGGTAACCCTAATGACAGACTTAGTCAGTGCAACTCCAGTAAGAAGACAGTGACTAGGCTCAAAATGTTTGTGATAAATCCCTTGTTTTGACCGTCTGTATGTTACTTAAACAACAAGAAATATTTGTCCAGGATGATTGTAGTACACACAGCACAAATAAGCTGCAGCCATTCTTAATTTCAGTTGTGTCAGTGTCCAGTTCGGCTCTTTAAAAGCATCACGTTGCAGCTGTCATGACTCTGATCACGCCTCATGCAGCTCAGCTGTGTGATAAGCTGTGTCATGTTGTAAAACAGGGATGTGAGGGCGTGTCTGTGTTGAACAGGACTCTGCTTGTGTCCTTTCACCTGCTTTGCTGTCTGTTTCTATATCTGTCATTGAGCTCAGTGTCAGTGAGAGTGCCGCGAGGACTGTGATATTAATCAAGGCTTTCATCGGGCCCTCGTGCCTCCCCGGGTGAAATTTCAGCCTGCAGGTCTGCGCCGGTATAATTTGACTTTTGGGTGGCTGCCAGCTTCGCTTCACAGTTGAAGGAAAACACTCGTGACTTTTGTATACAGACTTCCAGTATGTTATACACCTGTTGTCTATGTGTGATGTCCACACAACTTTAACTGTTTGCACCAACATGTGTAGAGACTTTCATACGGGCTGCAGAGAATACATTTATTTATATCATACCACAGTTTGTAGCCTTGCAAACAGCACTAAGAAATGCATGCACATGGACTTTAAACTGAGTTATATTAGCTGTAGAGCTGTTTCACCACTCAGTGTGACTCTACAAGTTGTTTTGATGCAGAAATAAGAGTAATAATATCACAAACCAGTGCTTATGTGAGCACAGTCGGTCTTTCTTCTAGTACAGCATGTTTTGGCAGTGAGCCTAAACCACAATAATACCTTTTAGTATATTGAACACACTTGCTTAAGGCATTATTTTGGTATAATTTACAATGCCATAAATAATTTTCTATTCGTCAGTCAACACATTTTACCACAAGAATCTAAGTATTTCCTTTTCCCAGGTGTTGAGTGTGTAAATACTTGTGAATCATGTGCTTGTTTGTTGAAAAACACCGTACAGTGCTAATGTACATTTCACAGCCAACTAAATGTCAAAGATATATGAAGTGTCATACAACATTCAGAGCGTTTTACTGGGGCAATTTATCTGTATGACCTCATCCGTTGGAGCCATAAAACTTAGAGGTGCAATCTTTATTGATTATTTGCTCATAAAATATTCACGCAGCGTTTCTCCACAGTTTTATATTAGCAGCATTCTTTTTGACTTTGAA